GCAAATAAAAAATGACTTTGGACCCCCCTAGAAAACGTGAACCCCACCATCACCACCACGAAATAGGTCTTTTTCAAGTTTGGGAAATGGATTTTTTTTTTTGGTCAAGAAATTTTTGGGGTGCCCCCCCCCCCCTTTCTGGAAAACATTCCTGGATCCGCGCCTGAAAGGACTACTGATGATGAAGTAGTTATTTTTCAAGATAGTTGCATCAGAGGGATTAATATTTAGTTTGATGTATATTTCAGTGCTTGGGGTATGCAAACTCAAACATGCAAACGTTGTGTTAAATATAATTGTACGTTTACAGAAAGACTTTCTTTATGTGGAAGGCTATCTAAGGTGCTTTGGGACGGGATCCCCGCGTTCCGTATCCCAAGGGTTCTCCGACTTTTTTATATAAAATATTCTTCTATGACATATTCACATAGTATTCACAATTGAAAAATCATAAATCTTAAACTAACCTTGAATAAAAATTCACACTATCTGATACTAAAGAAACAAGGTTTGCAACTTCAACAGACGACTTTCGACTCCTGGATGGGAAATCTTCAGAAAATAAGGATGAAGGCTACTTACCGGCCAGCGGACCTGCGACTCGTCATTTTAATTGTCAACGAACAAAAGTCGTCATTTTTACTATTCCTAGAAGAGGAAAACCAATTTTTTATGTTTTTATTATTTGTTTTGTTTTTATTTATTTTCATGCTCTCGCAGTACAGAATATTCATTTCCAAGATGACAGGCAGATTATTTTCTTTCCATGAAAAAGATGTCAAGCAAATAAAAAAGGAGAGTAAAGGAAATGTGCCCAAACTTGATTTCATGAAAAGGGGGGAGGGTAAATACCACCTGTCAAGGTCAGACTATTCAATTTCTTCAGAGAGGAAGACAGACAATTTTCAACGACAGATTATTTACTTCTGTCAGCCCCTGTCGTTACCGTTCACGGTAGCTCAGTCAGTAGAGCGCTCGCTCCATGATCGGGAGGTCGTGAGTGACCTAAGTCTATAAAAAATGGGTAGCAACTGTTCCTTCGCCATGTGCTCGGCACTTTGAAGTGAAAGTTGCGGGTCCTTCGGATGAGACCTTAAAAACCGAGGTCCCGTGTCACGGCAGGCGTTGGCACGATAAAGATCCCTCACTGCTCAATGGCCTTGAGTACCGAGTAAAAGTCAAAATTGAAGCACTTCACCGGTGTATGGTGACGTCTCTATATGAGTGAAAATTTTCTCGAATGGGACGTAAAACAACATACAATCAATCAAGTTATCGACCCGTTAAAGCAGAGACCTTCAGATTGCTGAAATCTAACTGACATTCTAAGATTATTAAAAAGGCATACTAAGTATATCGGTGAGATTAAAGCGATTCGAAGATCTATGACTAAAAGATACAGCTATATATATATATATATATATATATATATATATATATATATATATATATATATATATATAATTAATTTTTTCAATGACGATACAAAAAGGTATCTACTTCACCCTCTCGCTAACTTTTTCGATTTTCGATTTTGCACTTGACGTACTCCAGAGGTGTGTACCGCTTTCAGCAGTTTTCAGTTGGTTCACAGTTGTGGTAACGGTTTGAGCCGTAATAAGAGCTTTTTTGTCAGCAATCTCATATTAATTTGGCGATACCCTGGCTTAATTTTTCTATGTATTTTTGATAACTTTTAGGTATAATGATTTAGGTTGTTGCGTCACGATGTAGCTTCTGTACTTTTTTTCAATATGTATCATCAAACATACTAGTATATGGCAAATCGAGTAAATGTCTGTATCTTTGGGCATTTGTGTGAACCGAATCATCGTTGCTACACACACACACACACACTAACACACAAAAATCAAAGCATTTATCCGGAAGAGTAATTTCGAGAGGTAAATCTGTATTCCATGTTTGGAAACTTTCATCATGACAAATAAGATGTTGGTGTTTACTTAATGCGTTATGTTCCACCTCGCACACATGATGTTTTACCATTTTGCTAACACAATCATGTGATCCAATCCGAAATTCTTCCAAATATTATTCCTTTGAAATCCGAATTACTTGGGGGTTTTTTAACGTTCACTCATATGGGTGGTACTTCATTTGTCAAACCGCAGAATGCGCCGCTTGACCTTTGGTAACCTTGCTTGTTACTTCATTTGAACGGGGAAGGTTCGCCGGCGTACGCCGATCTCGCCGGTTTGAAATGACCGGCGACGGATTCACCGGTCTTAGAAATATGGTGGGAAGATCAACAACTGTTAAAATGCAGATACGTTTTACCAATTCGGCATTTTCTTTAATTGTTTGCATTTTATGAACAAATTTCCATTCATATATTTAAAATCTGTTGTTATTTTCGAAATTAAAATTTTTCATGAGGTCCGTGATTTTTTTATTACATTGAATTTTGAATTATTCAACCCTTTTTTCGCTAAGACATAATGTAAAAAGTGATAGATTATAATTAATTGATTATTATTTAGTATAATTATTGTTTGTTTTAGCCGGTTTACTTCATTTGCCACTTAGCCGTTTTACGCCGGTCATATGACCGGCACAATTCGGCGTACGCTGATCTGTAACAAATGAAGTCGGCCCATGGAGAAGCCACCACTTGCCGGTGGAGGGCTGCAAATTTTGGATCTATACTCGGCACTCAGGGCCATTGAGCAGTGAGGAATCCTTTTCGTGCCAACGCCTACTGCGACACGGGACCTCGGTTTATACGGTCTCATCCGAGGGCCGTTCTTCATGTCCCACTATGGGAGTCGAACCCGCGACGTAAGGATTCTCACTCCTTACTTCGCGAGTGTAGACCAAACGCTCTAGCCACTGCGCCACGCGGGCGACAATTCTATACAGAATTACTTTGTGGCACGCCCAACACTATGTTTCTGCTTTCAAAGACTACTAACAGAATGTTGTAAGCAAAACTAATTTACAGGGAAGATTTGGATAAGGTAGCAAGATAACTCTTTTGATGAACTTTATGCAGTAAGAAATATGAAATTAGTTAAAAAGCAGTTCCGGCGGAGAAATGCATCGATTTGACGCATATTCCTCAACCAATCACACCCGAGGTTTGTATGGAGCGTAGAGGAGTCAGCCGTTGATTGCCGATTGGTTGTGCTCAAGTAACTCCTGACAACAAGTTTGTACCCAAATTTTTATACTCGGCTGTTTCAGGAGTTTGTTCATTTAACACTGTCCAAGCATTATTGCTTTTTTTTCTTTCTTTTTTTTTTAGGTTATGAAATATAAAGATAACAAGCGGTAATCAAGCTCAAAAGTCCATTGGAACAATATAAATTGGGAGTAGAGCAATTACGGACCCCCAAAAATATCAGATGTGGGATCTGGTAACATGGAGGAGCAAGCATCCCCTGTCGACCGGTCACACCCGCCGTGTGCTCATGGACAAACGGAAAATCCGTAAAAAATTCAGTGTGAAAATATAAGCCGAACAATTTGATTGAATAACGTCGGTCAACGTTCGACTTAACGATAGATTGTAGTTGCTAACAAGGTAATTGTATCGACCATAGAATTTACCAAATGCTAACTTTATCCGAGACTGTTGATATCCTTGTACATGTATAATCAACTTATTGGTGCAGCCGAGTAACCGAGGATTCTTACTCATCCAAGGCACCTAATCCCACCTCTTGTGATTGCAGGGATCTGTGTTTCTGCCCTGTTCACAGATATGTATTGTTTACTGGATTTATCACTGTTCGTTATCTTCACAATTACATCATTTAACCTCCTTTATGAAAAACTATGGTATACATGTATCCCGAAACAGATTTTGTTGAGAGAAACAGACAGACAGAAAGGATGATTGTTATAACATTTACATGTTCATCTTGTTCCTAGTCAAACGCAAATTTGATAATTCACTATAAAGGAATTTCCGCAAAATATCGTACACACTACATATAATACATTTTCAGTAAACTAAGATACGTATGAGTATGCAGTACATTACACTATTTCTTTGCTTTACAGTGCAATTGAGCTCTAGTTTGTCAAAACTTATAATTTTAATTAATATTTCGATTTATGGTACGGATATAAACGAAGTGTTTGTATAACCACTACATTGTGTCTCTTTAAAAGTAACTTTCAAGGTCAGAAAGGGGCACCCTACCATTTCTAAAATAAATATGTTTTTATTACAAACTCCGAGTTATTAATCTCTTCGTGTACAATAAAAAGAACTCTGAAAAAAAATTTAAACTTTCAAAACGGTGTTCAGGGCTCATTCAATATATTATTATTTTCTTAATATCGATGTAATGAAGTTCAACTGTAGTTTAACTCAACAGCAGCATCAACTTTTCGTCATTTTAGAAAAAAAGTATGGAAGGCAACGACTTCCTTATGTAAAAAAGTACCATCTAATCATAAAGATAACGGTAAATAATTAAAAACCACCATCTTTACTAAAATTAAACAGAGCATGCTTTAAAAAAGCACCATTTTAACAATTAATAACCACAGCATATTATGAAAAAGAACAATCTTATCATGAAACAAATAACAGAAGGCAGCAATGGCGTTCCATACAGAAGAACAAATCTCAATTAAGGATACAGCAAAATATAGAACCAAATGAAGGAAAGAAATATTACAATTTTCATAATTATACCAGTGTTTCTATACAGAAATCTAATCTCCCAAGTTTCTTCATTATGGTCCACGATTTTCCCACTTTACATATTTATTCTTTATAAACAGTTAGAGGAGTACAAAAGGAGATCCATTTTCATAACATTATCAGTTTAGTAGCAAATATTAAAATAACGTGATATTTATTGTAAACGCTTAATTGAATCTCGAAATCCTTAGCTTTTGAACTGTTTTCACGAAGTTGCCCATTCTAAGTAACACGTGTATTTCTCATAACTCAAACCATCAATATGTAAGTACCTGGTGTTAACAGCTGTGGATGTTTTGCACAATCGCAACTGGCAGAAAAATTTATTTGTAGGACTATTTATTTTTATTAGTACATGCATGTAATATTTGTTAGTAAACATACTTTTCAGCACCAAATCAGTAAGACAGAAAAAAAAGCCCAGGCAGGATATAAACTCAGCGTCATTAAGAAGTTTCTTCAAACAATCACTTGTTTACTCATTTATGACATGAAATCTAGCTTTACCTATTTCTTCAATGTCAAAAACGCTATATACAACTATTGTATTAATTGTGCAACATCGTATAGTTTATTGTTGACAATGGAAATGGAACAGTTAAATATTAATGAGGCGGCACTCTGTACAGACTGGATTTGGATTTGGTACGGTCTTGGTGATTTTACTTCTGTACAAGCCATGGACCAGCCGGACACACTTTCCACAAACACAATGCTACACCACCTAATAGAAGAAACGGTAAATGTTAATAGAAAAAATGTATACTGACCTTGACAATTCAAGTTATATTGTTATCGGGTACACCACCATTTCCTATCATTTTATTAATTCTATAACAAGTCAGTATTATCTTACAAAAACGGTGACAAAAAAAATATTATCGTTCTCACCTCTTGTTTGTCTGTCAGTAGAAAATCTTTTTTGAGCCATTAGTCTTTTCAACTTTCCGTTGTCTCGGAGTTGGTTCAAATTTTTCAATAGCTGTCTTTTGAATTGATCATTTATCATCATTCGCTGGAAATTAAAGAGGGATGTAAAATGTTAATAATTGATTTTTATACGAATTTTTGTGATTGTGAACATCTAAAAAAAAACTAATTTAATGCTTCGTGAAATGTAAATAAAAAAATGTACAAAAATAACATGTGGAAACTGTCGTATTGAAATTTAAACTGATTTCAGAAATTCGTATCAGTTTAATTGATCAAAATTAATTCCATTCCTTCGTGTCTTGCAACTGTGATTGAACAAATTGTCATTTTAGGGTAAAACACTTCCAAATGACAGAGCTTGGGCTTTGATATTGATATTAGTAATTATGTTTTAGGATGTGGTGAATTTTCCTCAGCAGGGTATTGATGAAGGCCATGTTTGATAATTACCCGCGAGAATTTATTACCCTCCGCCTATGTACGCCATTTGATTAGATTTAGATTTAAGTTGGTTTCAACTTCTGACTAATTTTCATCACTTCCCAGTCTAACAATAGAATGAACTATTTAACATGCTGATTAATCAATCTTGTAATGAATATATTTTAATTTACTGTGATTTCACGTTGAATATATATCTGTGCCATTTCGAAATTTTACAAGCCCGATGAAGGTTAAAGTTCCAATTCTTTGCATGAGTTTGCTTTTGATGCACAATCTTCATTTTATTTGAAAATACCAAACGTAAAGATGTCGAGCGTAGTTAGTTTTCCACTTCGTGGAATTTGCATTACTTTCCAATTGTATTAAAATAAAAATAATTTGAAAAAAAAAATGTTAATCTTTTTTCTCATTTTTTACCAAGGATCATATCCTATTGGATTTTTGCGGTACACTAATTTCTTCATTTTTCGACAATTCTTGACACATGAGATTACTACTTTTTTATATTATGTGTTTAATTATAATATTGATAGAACTTACTCGTCCAAATCGTTCAGCCCTTTCTGTAAAACGACGTTTGCCCCCAATTTTAATTCATATTGTCTCTCTTTTTAAACATATTTGTCAATTCCTTCACGCAAAACGAAACGATTCCTGTGTTTTCGAATTGTAAAGGTATTTCGAGGTGTCTTTATTCCTATTGTCATAACAATGAAATTGTAATGACACTTTCATAAAGCCAAAAAAAAAATTCTTTACGATAAGAACAATATGTAAAACAAGATATTTTTCAAGACTTTTTTCAGGATGGATAGTCTTTGTTTCTAGTGGAAAATGTTAGCATCTTTAACATTTACATGTATTCTAAAAAAAAAAAAAAGACTAAACAAAGAGGGTGTTGCAGAAACTCGCGATTATTCCTTGTATCGAGAAGGACATTTAAATACCCACAACGCCTGAAGAGTTATGTCTAAATATAGATCGATAATACTAGGTAGATGACTTTATTTATACGGCGGGTATGTCCAGCTTGTTATAACGAAACATTTCACATTTTACAATTATTTCATGCATAGTTTTTCCTATCTTGTTGATTTATCCGACTTTAAATAAATACTATCCTATAGACTGGCGAGATGATAAGTTTTTTCACATCTATGGTCACTGTCGCCATAAGTTAGAACGATAAAAAGCACAATTAATGGCAAGTGCATCTCGCAAATCATTTTGAAAGATGTGCTGTAGACAGCATGCGTTAATTTTTTTTAATACGTATATAAAAATGTGTCCAATAATCACGCTGTTGATGCAATATCCAAAAAATTCCATTGAGTCATTTCAATTTAATTGTTTCAAGTAAAATCTGATCAACTAATTAACAAAACAATAATGAAACGAAATGAGTATGAAAAAATTAAATTATTTAAAATGAAAGTACTTTATTTTTTAAGACATCGCCACTAAATGTATGTCTTATTTGATTTAGATCACAATATCAAGGAAAACAATTTAATTCTGCGTGCATTTAAAATATTACCCATTAACTTCCTGACATTCTCTCCCTCTCTCTTTCTGTCTCAAGAGAGATGTTACATTGTACTTCCATTATTTAAGAAAAAAATATGTATGTACCAGCCATTCCAGGATTCGAACCCAATCTCGAGTAAAAGAATTTTTACTAAGAGTCCGCACGCTTTACCACCAGACCAGCTCCGATACTGAAGTATTTAGTGCTATTTTATGTGCACATTTTCCATTTCGGGTGGATAATAATTTTTATTCGATTTTTGTGATTTTCAAAAATATGCCTCTTTGAAACAAAAATCGGAAATTTCAGTTTTGAAGAAAAATCCTGTCTCTTTATGCGTATATCAAATTCATTCTCTTTCAAGGAGGCAATTTTCAGAACAATGGGGATTCCCTATTTGAAAAACAGAAAACGATACTTATTTTGCTATATGGCTAATTTACACTTCATTTAATGGCAATTTGGTAGTCGATATGCAGTTTCTAAATATTGTTCTACATTGTGCTGTATATACCGTTGTATCTGAAAAAAATTTAAGACCGTTTTCTGTTACTTGAAATTTTTGTTTTAAACTGCTACAACTTTAGGGAAAATAACAGAAGGACTGCAACACCCACTTTAGTTGAAATTAATGGATTGTTAGTAAGGTACATGTATTTTGCACTTTAACAACAACAAAAAATAAATAAGAAATAACATCGCCTAATTACAAAATATTTGAGAATTGTCGAGCCGATAAAATTAGCAACTCCTAACGGATTCAACTCATGCAGTTTAATACATCGAAGACAATTTCGCGATAAATACTTATTTACTCCCACTGGTTATAAATGCTGAACCCACTAGATTTCCTGCGTGATCCAGGTCATTATTAATTCAGAACAATTCTGTATGACTGTATTGGGTGCATTTTTAATTGACTTAATTGTACATTGTAGTCCCCATGCTGAAAGTACGTGTATAACAATTCAAGTCACTTTGCAGGAAAGAATGAGAAAAAATATTAAACTGACATGATATTTGTAAAGAAATTTAGGAACCGTTGCGTGGATGTACGACTGTAAATTCAATAAGGTCAAATCCCTTAGAATCACCACAAGTAGAGAAATACATTTGTTAGAACCTCTGAAGGAAATTAGTCCAAAGGTCAATTTAATGAACCTAATGTTTGGAGAATGTCGCTCACTTTTTGACAGATTTAAATATTAAGGCCATGTTTATAGAGCAGATGTCAAATAGAAGCTTTATGCGTCGATTAACGAACATTTTCTCACAGTAGCGCCATTGTCATATAGGGTCGGGAAAAAAAGGGTAGTTCAGTTATTTACAGTATGAAAACAAGAGGTGCGCTTGTGATTACAGTATCATGCTCCAGAATACGCAAAATGTTACAAATAATTCTTATCTAATTAAAAAAAAAAATAATAATAAAACGACATAAAAAGTATATTATAAAGTTCAGTAAGGTGCTTGGCGTTTAAAGAATCGATAGAAATAATTTTAAAAGAAAGAAATAATTACAGTGAATTGTTTTTTAAGATGGGATCATATGGATTTCTGGACAATGAAAAAGTCATCCCCGAATGTCAATCGACAGAAATCTGTTAATTACATGAAAGTTTTACTTTTTACGATTCGATCCTCCGTAAAAATGGAAGTAGAAACTTTTGACATTCTTATACTCCAATTTGACATTATGTATATTCCGTAAAAATGTCCCGTCAGAGAAATTTGGAAAATTCCAAACGCCATAGTGGAAACTCACGGGAATAATAATAAGTGAGAATGAGAAAGGCAATACATGTATGTGCCACACATAACTTGGAATTTGCTTTCAAGAAATTAAATTTGCAGCAATATATAAAATACATAAAGTCTGCGTATAGGGTTTATACTAGGGCTAAAAAATTGAGACAAGTTATGCGTTATTGCCTCATAGGAACAAATTTCAGACGGATTTCTGAAAATATGTAACACGCTTCTTGTAATACCGGAGATTTAAGTCACCGTCCAGTAGTTTTAGATTAGTCGAAAAAAAAATTCCATTGATAAAACTGACGCGTGGCGGTGATTGTTTTGTCAAAACTACAAGATACACAGCCGTTATGTTTTGTCTAAGTATGGGCTGAGGGACATTTATAAATATGTCGACAAAACGTAAATGCAAATACATCATTGAATCTCTCGGAATTTCACAATTGAAAGGCAGGAAACTCCTGGAAAGATATAAAGATCGTTGTGTCAGGAGAAACCTGACCGTTTTTAATTTTTCATGGCAAAGTTAAAATACCAAAAAATCCATCAAATTTTTATTTAAACAATATACTGATTCCTTCTTTTAAGGAAAAAGCAAATGAATACTTTATATTTACATTTGCAAATGTTTTCCTTTATTTAACACTATCTTAGCAAGGCAGTGTTTTTTTTTCCAGTACTTTGGGACTGGGGGCTGGGGCCCTCAGAATTGGGAATTTCAGCGTCAATTAGGCTAAATTGGGAATCTCCCAGAAAACCCAGTCACTTAAAAAGCATTGTCAAAAAGCTTTGTTTTTTGTCTTTGTATTACTTTAACAAACAATTGTTATAACAAATCAAGACTATTCTTAGTATGAATTATCTAATTACTTGCATCATGAACAATAGTGGTATGAATTATCTAATCATGAAGAAATCCAACATGGCTGAACAGCAAAACCTGCTTGAACTTCACTGAAAAACATGCAATAAACAAACTGAATTTAATCAAATATTTTGTAAGTTTTTCTTTGGGAAAGCTTCCACTACATTTTGGGAAAATACAGACATATTTTCAATTGGGACTGTTGCCGAATTTCGGCCCCAAATTGGCCCCAAAAAATCACTGCAAGGCGTAATTAATTCTGTGTTAAAAAAAAAGGAAAAAAAAGGGTTATTTCGTGTCCTTAACTTCATTGTTCAGCCATAAACGATTGACGTGATTCACAGTGTTTCATAAGTGGTAGACGAGTTCAAGACAATCATTTATACCGTTGAGGTTTGAAAAAATTAAATCATTTTATGGGTTTAAAACTTTTGTACTTAATATACGTTGTAAAGCAGTCTCAAATATATACACACGTATTGAGGTTTCATTTTAAAATTTTAATTGAGATATAGATACGGGTTGGCATGTGATCTACCATAAAGTCTCTTCGGGCTTTAATTGATTTGATCACATGACCAACCCGTATTTATATCTCGATAAGAGTTTAAAATATGATATCTTATTTCTTAATTAAATGATTTTCAAAAGATGAAGTAACACCAAATAATATTTTTAAAATAATTATTACAGAAATCGAACTGGAGAATATGTTCAAAATATTAAAATTAAGGAGGGGAGAAAGAACATTGTTGGAATGAGATATTGTATATTTAATAAATACTGTGTAATTGAATTTCCAAGAATAAAGTAACACAAAGTAAACTGAAATAAATTGCATACTAAAGAGATCAAACTGGACAATAATAATGACTACGTTTGTTCAGTATCAGAATTACGGCAGGGAAAAACATTGTTGGAATGAGTTATTTTATATTTAATTAATACCGTGTAATTGAATTTCCAAGAATAAAGTAGCACCAAATAATCTGAAATAAATTGCATGACTTAAATTTAAGTTTCAGTGGATCGAACTGACTAAAATTCTCCAGTAAAGCAGAGAAAGAAAACATTGTTTGAATGAGTTGTTTCATAATTTTTGAAATGTTTATGTAATATACCTGTTCTTCAGTTGGTTCGGCAAATTCGTCACCGTCCCCATAATACTGCTGTGGTTCCGAAGAGCAGATATAATTTCCGAGTAAAGTCAGAGACAGTACCACCAAACACATTAGATGTAAAGCATTCATGTCTGAGTGTTCTTTTAAGCCTCTTTCTGTTATTCTAGGGGGATCTAATGCGATCCTTGTCTTTTATAGCCGAATTTAGTTGAGAATGATCGAGAACACAAATTATCGCGTACTTAGTTCAAACCCACGTCTTCACGGATATGACGAAAATTTCTTCTCATTAACAGATCATCAGTGAAATTAATATTCCCGGATTACATTGTTAAAAACGGTTGACAATTGGCGTTTGCGACAAGTTCCGACGAGTGCGGACACTGGAGACAGATATCTCAAATCTCGCGGGGCGGAGTCTCTTTGTTGATGGCCAATTGCTTCGCAGGAATATTTCCAACACATTCTATTTGGTCCCGTGGTATATGTTTATGTGTGAAAAAATCAAATCAATCTTTCTATATAGAAATAATACAACTAAAATAATCGGATATTTATGCAGGGATACTAAGCATTAACTCCAAACTCCATTCCATCCATCAGAAATTTACTTCAACAATTATATCCGACCATATGCACGTTACTTAACCTCAAACGTGGTTGATCGGGATACTGATGATGAAGTTTTCCCTATTTTAAATAAAACCAAGTGAAAGAATCCTCCAAGAAAAAAGAACAAATGTCACGTTGTACATTTAATCCTTGATGCTGTTTCTATGCAAAATGTTTGAAACATATCAACAGAGAGGGCGTTATGTATGACGTCATTAAGAATGTGACAACAATTTATGAATTAGAATTTTTTTTCAATATACAATAAATTCTTGTAATCTTGCAAAGAGTAAATTTATCAAACTTCGTCCTACAATTTATATTTTACATGAGATCCGTTTTACCAAAATGCAGACCTGTCCATCCTTCCACTTTTCGGTAATTCGTCCACTTTTTTCCACAAAAATACACGCTTTCACGCCATTAGTTCATTACTTTAAAGCTAAAACTTTATTATTTAGAAATTTTTATGAATATCCTTTTAGTTTAAAAGTTTTAAACTCACATGGTTTTTCGCACAAATTAACTTCACAATGTTACAATGCGATAGTGTTTAACAAGACAACAAAATATATTTTAAAAGTGATTGTATATCTTATTTTTATTTCACTAACTAAAACATAATTCACAGATAATAACTGGTACTCTTGGCTGATAAATTATAACAATTCCCAAATGTTCTTGTGGTTTCTTGCCAATTGCAGCCGTCTTTGTATAAGTTCTTTTGAAAGCAATACCTTTTTACAGAAACGTACATGTAGTTTTTCACTTTAATCTTTCTTAACTCTGATGGAATTATTGTTTCACTTAATTATTGTTTCACTTAATTAAAGATGTCATGTTTCAGTTTACAATCCTTTCTTCAACTCTGGCAATGAATCGCATTTCCTCCAATGCCAAGTTCTTGAAGTTTCTCTCTTGACTATCGATGATTTTTTTTGCCTTGCGTAGACACAGTACAGCTCCTGTAACTTATTTTTTCTGTACATTAACATGATTCCCTAGCGCAAGATGGTAACAGTATTTCTCATTTGTTTGACTGCTTTCTATGTTAAAAAGCTGGTATTTTCAGAGTTACTTTCTGAAATCTAGCATCATGCGAGATTCGTCCCCACTGCAAAGTTTCAAACCGTAAATATAATTCACTACTTTAAAAGATAAACAATACCTCATTATCCTACCCTTCGGTTACACAACAGTATTAAATTTTGCTACATATTCTTACCAAAAATGTACAACTTTGAATAGATGTTCTTGATATAAAACAAACTTTTGAGAGGTTTCCTTTTCAGAGCTTGTAAAAAATTCTTTATAAAGATTTTAGTACCAAAAAAAAAAAAAAACACATAGCCATCCAGCAAGACTAAAGTTTGTGTCGGTAGAAGTCGAGCAGGTGCTTGAAAATCAAGTGCTGGACCTAATCACTCCCCCCTTAAATACAGTATATAAAAAAATCAGCACAACCTAAATTTAATGAATCTGGTCAATACAGGAAGTTAACGTATCGTTTTTCATCTCATAAAAAAAAATCAGCTCTTTTCTCGTGCAAAAATGCCCTAATCGGGAAAGGGGGGGGGGTCAGGAAATATTTTTTGTGTTTTGACGTGAACCTCAATTGAAATACTGTTACTACACCTGCAATTAAAATTTAAATTCTTGCTTGCCATTATAACACTATTTTCCTGATCTCTAATGAGCATTTTATTTAATAAAGCAAATTTCATGTAAATCCGTTTCAAATTAGAACAAATTCTGGTGACACTCCATGACAGGCTTGTTCGGGGTGAACACGGATTTCTAAAAAAAAAATATATTGCAAAAATTTGAACTGCATGTAATGATCTTGGGCTTTGAACTGTTGATGTTTTTTGTTTCAATTTTAAAATTAATGCATACAGTTTCACATAAGGATAATAAACTGTGTAAAATAAGTTTGCTTAAAAAATTTTAAAACACGGCTAAAAAAAGGGGCCTTTGACAATAGATACATGTAGGAGAGGGAGGGGGGGGGGGGAGGGGTAAAAAGAGCATTGAATACATATTTAAATACAACAGTGTTTTCTGTTTCATTAGAATTTTCTCTGCAGACTTCTTTATCTATTACCACTGTGTTCCAAATTCACGCATATTCAGAATTTTTATTTGCTCTGGCTTTGGTCTAATTTCTTTACATTTATGGATTTTAAACTTGTTTACGAGGAAATTGTGTTAACGATTGCAATTGCAATGTATTTATGATGGTGCCTTCTAATTTTCCTGCATTTCACTCAACCCGTTACATCGAAATCAGCCCGCTGCGTGGTCAAGATAGATTTTTTTAGAGGAAATCCGGACTAATTTTCTATGCTTCATTAAACACAAACGAACAGTAAAGACGGTCAAAACATACCATTATTTCTCTCTAAACACACAAAATGAAACCTTAAATCTTAGACTATAATATTTTTAAATATAAAATTTGGATTTACTGCAGGTTGCACTATAGTATTAAATTTTATTATATATTCTTACCAAATATGTACAGATTTGAATAAGAGGTCTTAATTTAAAACAAACCTTTGAGAGGTTTCCTTTTTAGATCTTGCAAAACAATTCTTTATAAAAAAAATTTAGTACCAAAACTCACATCGCCATCCAGCAAGGCACGCAAGTTTGTTTCGGTAGAAGTCGAGCAGGTGCTTGAAAATCAAGTGCAGGACCTAATCCCTCTCCCCACAAATACAGTATATAAATACGAGTAATCGGCACGCCCTAAATTTTAATGAATCTGGTCAATACATGACGTTTATATATCGTTTTTTATCTCATAAAAAAAATCAGCTGTAGATGTCTCATACAAAAATGCCCGAATCGGGAAGGGAGATTCTGGAATTATTTTGCGTCAGCCATGTTTTGACGTGAACATCAACTAAAATACTTTTACGACACCTGCATTTGGCTTGGTTTCTTTCTGCAGCGTTGTCCCTTTTCGGCGGTACATTTCGACAAAACCAAGACGAATTTGGTTATTGAGCAAAATACTTCGAAAAATAATTACCTTTAAGAAGTTAATTAAAAATTTCATCGAAAGCTCAATTATACCTACGATAGAATCATAAAGTTGTTTCATAGTACCATTCCTTGATAAACTCCCCTTTAAAACATCATCTATGAAAACTTAGATAATAATTTTAAAAGACATGTTCCCTTGACATGAGATAAGTAATATCTTAGGGTTGTGTCGTCGTACTGAAGTTCTATAATGTAAATTTTATTACAAGAAGAATGTGACCTTAACTTGTGCGAAAAACCACAGGAGCTTAAAAAGTGCGCGGAGTTGTATGTCTAAATTTTTCAAATTTGCACTTTGAACCATAAAATGTATTATTTTGAAATTAACCCAAAACATTTTCTCCGTTAAAGCACCGATTTTTTGCATAATTTTGGTCTAAAAGTCCTTCAGTCCAGGCCTGTCCTAAATTAGATTATGATATATTGATAGCTTCAGATAAGATAGGATTTTTTGGTTTTCATATCCAGAATAGCTCAAATAATATTAACATTGTGGGTTCTCTTTTTAGAGCCGTAGTTCGAATGCACCTGGTGCCACACTTTCATAGTTTTAAGTTCTTGCTTTTTCAAAGACTATTTAATTTTTTTTTTCAAGAAGCTTATGTATTTAATTTAGTTATCTACCTTTTAAGCATGTGCATTTCTGGTATAAAAGACCCTAAAGAGAAAGCATATCGAATTGAAATAATCGATACCATTAAGGTATGTCACTCGTGAAATTTGTTATATCAAGGATTTTTTGAGAAGTATATTTTGGATAAGTACTCATATAGTATGACTCAAAATCGCAGAGAAAGTGGGGGGTCAGTGTGCATCTAACTGAGCTACGGTACAATTAAGTTGACCTTTTTGCACTTAAATTGTAACTCTTTGGTTAATCACTTTAACCGTTATCATATTTTATAAGATGTAACCATGGCAATAAACATAATCTTATTTTACGTAAAATAGTATGAATAATATTTATCATTGAACAAATCATGCAAATTAATGCGCGTAAATTATTGTGTGACCTTTTTGCACTAAAAAAGTATCATATTTGGGGTATTGAAAATCTAAATAGGCAATAGAATATTTTCTTGTATCAAACTTTTTACGACTTAAGTGCTGATCGGTCAAAAGTATCGAGTAGTTTAAAATAATGAAAGAAAAAGTTGGGGTCAGTGATGTAAATTTTGAAATATTGGTCAAAATATGCGATTTTCAGGCAAAAAACTGTGTAAATTTTATCTCGACTTCCTCAATATATCTTCATTTCTTGGCAATGTTTGTTGAGCGAAGGTGTAAATTTTGTTATAAAAATATAAATTGAGACCTATGTTTAATATTCCAGGCATATCATAACGGAAAATATTCTCTGAGTAAAAGTATGTGAGGCTAAAGTTCCAAGATATTAAATTTAATAAATGTGTAGATTTGCAGAATTTTCTGCTAAATATCCTTCCGCCACAAGAAATAGTCCCTTATAAATCTTGCTTCTTTGTGAATTTTTGAGCAGTTTTTTAATTGAATGTTGAACATTTTACATTGTTTAATTTAAATATGTTATAAAGATTGAATTGTAATAAATAGTTTTTAAGTAAGAGGTTCTGACTGAAATTTTCTAAAAGGCTGACGAGTGACATACCTTAATAGGCTCTGGTGCATTCTGAAAGTTCTTTTTTTCCAATCTTCTATTGTATAAAGGTGTAATTAGTGAGCTTATCTTTGTAATTTTCAGCATGGGATACCTGGTATTTACCCAAAGG